TTGAAAATATTTACCAAGTATAGAGGATTTTTATACATAACACAAACAATCAGAGATTTACTATTAATCTCATGTGTGTTTGTTTATAAGATAAATTTTAAAGATACCAATCTATCTAAATCCCAAGAGATCTCATTAATTAATGAGATGTGATTAAACTTGATTATCTGAAATATATTTCTGTGAATAAGAATTCCCAAATATGTAATAACATTCAGGTAACATTGAATGGCCAATCATAGATAATGAGATATAGAATCTCCAGTTATCATGAGTTCAGATTTTGATCAAGTAATTGAGTAGCCAGACATATGAAAAGTATTAATCAAATACATCAAAGCCACTGTCCTAGTACTACCAAAACAAAACAAAGAGGTGCAGGGGGTAGAAACCATAGACACACTCTCCAAATGACCAATTACTTAATTTGAAAACCACTTTTAAAAAATGCAGTTTCTTAGGAAAACACATCCTTATTTAAGCACAACCAACCTTTCCCCACATGTGCTACCTTTGGGTAATACCGGCATACACTGAACAGTGTATTTTTCCAAGCTATGAATGATGGGAGGCCAAAACCAATAAAAATTAGGAAAATAAGCTTAGCAGCCAACACAAGCAACACATCGGAAGTGCCATAGGCACTTGGGTTTAGAAATATAAACATTACATTAGCAGAGCCATGAGATAGCACACAGCCACACCTGGGGCATTTACTACACCATCCTACAAAATACTAACAAAAAGAGAATCCATTCAGTGTTTCAGTTGCGCATTACTTTTGGCCTGAGAAATTTCAGCTACATCAAGCAAGCTATTTTCACTTTATCCAAAACATTTTCACTGGAAATAGGATCATACTCTATCATGATAACCTCAAGATTTTTGTTTTATCAAATAATACAAAAGTGACCTGCCACAATGGATGGCACCCACTTGACAGTGTGCCAGTCTATTGAATAAATAGGGAAAATTCAATGTAAAATAATTTAGAACACTGAACAATTAAAACAAAACAACAAAAGACAATAATCCGCCTTTCACAGCTACTTCCCATAGGAAATCTGTGCCCATATTTTTTGAATAGCATATTATCAGCTTGACCTCTGTGATATCAAGCTTTAGATAATTGGGTTGAAAAGAAAAAAAAATCTGTTGTAAATTTTCCCTAAGAAAACTGTTTTAAAATTTACAAGAGTGAGCAAAGAAAACAATATCATTGAAAAAGTTCTATATAGAACAATGAAAAGCAAAAAGACTCGTTTGAAAGCCATTCTTTGGCAGAAATGTAAGATATAAAATAAATTCATTAAAGACATAGCACTATAAACTACCATCAAGCAAACACCTTTAGAATGCTGTCAGATTTCTCACCCAAAAATTACAGTCAGAGGCACAGAATTTCTACCCCAGGGAGCTCCCTTCACCCCTTCCATCTACACCTTGGATAATATGGAGGTAGAAAGAGTGGGAGGTAGCAAAGAGTAAATATAAAAAGTAAGTAAATGTGCACATGACTTTCAACATCACCATCTGCAGATCTGAAGACTTCACCACCACCATCACCATCTGCAGACTTTCACCATCACCATTTGCAGATCCACCATCTTGGATCACTTAGCTTCAGATTGTTTCTTGTTGCTCAGTATACCCTAGTCACTAGACCATGTATTTCTTTCTCTCTCTCCTCCTGCTGATCTGCACCACCAAAATCACCATGTAACCAATAGGCTTACATACACAAAAGTAGCACTAACAAAAACAAGGCTTATGACAGCTTGTCACTAAAAATAAGTGTGCAGAGCATAGTTAAAAGTGACTAATGCTAAATATGTTTTTATAATGCAATGATATATGTACTCAGAAGTAAGCTCTACTGAGTTCAGGGGGACACCTCTGTACCATTCACATTCATAGTTTCTCGCACAAAAGTGACCCAGTGTTAAATTAAGTTGTTCCTTTACAGTGGCCAAAAAGCAGTAAAACTGAAGGTCATGTCTGCCCTTTTGCTTCTGCTACACCTACATGGAGAGAGGTCATGCTTTCTTCCCATTGATTCTGTTCCATGGGAAACAACAGTAATGACAGGACTTTATTTTGCCACATTCCATAAAGGGTTTGCTCCATCAAATATTGCGTATTTACTGTACAGTGATATTTGCATTTTGGCAAATACTTTTTCTAAAAATATAACTTCTTGAAATGTTTCCTTTTCAGTCTATTAACTGTTAAATAAAAGAAATCTGGATGATAACTCATTCTTCACTTGCTTTCAGGTACAGCCAGTCCCCAGGTTATAAATGCTTGAGTTACAAGCAACGCATACTTATGAATGAACTGCCATAAAGCCTATTAATTTGTTTAAATTACTGCAGAAAATCAACATCACCATAGAGAGAGGAAGTGAAAAGGGAAAGAGAGCGAGCCTCCAAAACATCAGCATAAAGAGCGAGGAAGAGAAAGAGTAGCAAGGGAGGTCTCCAAAGCATGCCTTCCTACCCAGCCCATCTGGAGAAGGAAATTTCTCTGGCATTTCCTTACTGCAAGAAGGCGACACAGGTGCATTTAGGCAAGGGAAACCTAGATATATTCTTGTTTTTTTCCATTTTCAAAGGGGTCCTGCACCCCTATCCACAAACGCAGAGGGCTGACTATACGTGATCTGATGCACATACCAATATGACTTAAAGACGAATTTGTTTTCTCAGGAATGGAACTTGTCCATAAGTTGGGAACTGCCTGTATTTGTGAAAAACACTTAAAGATTTTAGTTGTTATGAGCTAATACCAAATATTATATATTTTTAAAACAATACCAAACAGTGCTTTGATAATTACACTCTAAAATCGCATAGCAGTTACCAGGAATAGCTGATTTTAAAATGAACTAAAACTTGTACCTGTAACTCAGGTCAAAACTTCATTAGGTTTGGACATGTTATATACTGATAGCCAGATAGATAGATAGATATTCACAATTATCATTTACCAATGCCTGTTTCAAAAACCACACCCAATGAAAATGTGTAAAGCCAGTTACAATCCAAGACACACTGACTGTATTCAATGTGGCCCATCTACCAGCAGAATGAATGTGCTGGAAGAATGTATTCCCCCTTTTCCAGTCCCCACATGACTCCCAGATTCACTGTGGAATACTGGAGACCCCTCAGGAGCAGATATCAGGAGTAAGGATGCAGAAAGCAGGGTCAGTGCAAGTTACCTTGTATGAGCAGAAATCCACCTGTGCAACACTAGATGTCACCCTCTGTACCTAAAGTAGGACTCTTACAGAAAAATCAAGTATGACTGACATTCTCCAAAAACTCAAGTGACCAGCCATTTAACTCTGGGATCCCCAGTGCTGTACCTACAGAGACCGCTAATGGTGCCTGAAATGTTCTCTTACCCTGCCACCTGCAAAAATGTATTTTTAATGAAAACATTGGAAAATGTTAGGGTGCCAGGTTTACTGCCTCTGATCATCTGTTTGGCAGTCAGGGAGAGAGAAAAAGTTGTTTCTTGGCCCTATCCATTTTTCCAGTATTAAATCAGACCTTCATCTTTTGCTCTCTTGCTCTCTCAACTCCCAGTCTCTAGCTTCGTCATTTCTCTCTCTGCTGCCACTTGACCTCATGGATTCTCCCCCAGTCCTAGCCCTGAGCCTTGCAGCTTCTCTATCCTGCCCCTCAGAGTCTCTAGTCTTGCTCTTTTTCTTGCCTTCTCCCTGCCTTTATCTTGCTATGGTGGGAACAGAACAGCTAGGTCAAGGTGAGTGGGTGGAGGCTTTACTTTTGGGACTGAGGAAGGAAGTGTATACGTGGACATGATGAGTGTAGGAATGCTATTCAGTCTAGTCAAATGTAATTCCCCGTGGGTTTCATTTTAGCACACATAGGATAGCAATCTTAAATACCAGGTATTCTCTTATGTTTCTTTGAGGCCAAACATGTATACTGGCTTTGAAGTGCAGACATTCCCTCCGGGGTGAATTATTTTTCATTAGATTGGGCAGGCTCTCTTGGCAAACATTAAGTGACTAGCCACATCCTCTGTGGGAAACATGTTTTGGTGGTAACTGCAACAGTTTCTCAAATTCCCAGCTGTGGTTACAAGCCCAAAAAGGATGGGGGGAACTCTGTTTTAACTGGTACAATTCCACCTAAGCCTTATGCTAATATTAGTAATCAAAAGACATAATAGTTTAAGCTAGTGCTATTATTACCAATTCAAAAATTCCTTGTCATTAGGACTCAGTCTATACTCGGCATGCCCGTCTGCATTTACAAAGAAAAATACTATGGACTGGGATGCTTTCATTCACAAAAAGGTCCTGCCCTTGAGCTTAACTCTCATTCTGTGGACAGAATGAAAAATTAAATTAGTATCTAAGTTTGATATTTTAAAGATTCATATTGCCAGTATAACTTCTGTCCAAATTATTAGTTTACACATGCCCAAAGTTTGCAAACATTTATTTATGTATTTATTAGATTTATATTGGACTTTTTTCTTACAAACTCCAAGTTACTTACATAATTCTTTTCGTCCTTCGCTCAATCTTATCTGCATACCAACAACAACCTTGTGAGGTAAGTTAGGTTCAGAATCTGTGATGGGCTGAAAGGCAGTTGGCTCCATGGAGAAAGGGGACTAGAACCCAAATTTCCTAAGTCCCAGTTCCACACTTAACCACTCCACCACATTGGCTTTCAGGAGATTTGCAACATTTTCAGACCCCATTGCTTTATTACAAATTGCTTCTAAAATTCTAAATGTCACCATCAACTTATCATATCGTATCTGAACTGCTATTTTGTAGGGCAAACAGAACTAGCTGAGTAGTTTTTTGGATCTATATTATGTCCATGTCCCAGTTTACCGTAAAAAAGTGATGTTCAAAAGAGCAGAATTTAGAAAAAGTAGAAAGATATTGCCTGTTCTCAAGATATCATTAATTAATGGGTTCAGGACATATGACTTTCTATGAAAAAACTTACCTTTGAGTTCCCAGGAATCTCTGTGATCTTAGTTGTTCAGCCACATACAGAGATGTTGCCATTACTAGTAGCTCCCTTTCTTCAGAGTCTTTCAACTTGTGTCCTAGATTTCAAAAATGTTTTATATATCAGAGTCTTTTTATAAGATTTCAAGCCTTACCTTTCAGTTCAGCTAGAATTTTCAGAGTAACTGACAACTAGGATAAAAACAGTAAGGTACAAATAAATTCCTGCGCAGTCTAAAAACAGCAGAAGAAAAACAGAAACAAGCAGTGACCAACTTCTGTTGTGCCTAAAAGTTTGTAAGCCTATGTAAATAGAAAATAGTACAATTTTGCATACACGTAACCAATCTGGGAACAAGGCACTATGCCCTGAGAAGAGTATCATAACTGGGGTGCCACCACTGAGAAGGCTCTCTCTTTGGTAACCACCCACTTCACTGTAGAAGACAGTAGCACCTAGAAAACAACTTCTGAGAATGACTGTCAGAGGAATGACTAAGTATCTCCAGTCAACAGAAGCAGAAAGCAGCAAAGGCAGGTTGCTTACCTGTAACTGTTGTTCTTTGAGTAGTCACCTGTACATTCAACCTATGGGCTTGCCGCGGAGCACAAGGCCTCAATTGGAGAAAAAACTTCCAAAGCTTGGCGCCATGGAGTGGGCGGGAGCCCGCCCTGCCCCCTGTGCCGGCAGCATAAAGGCAAGGGGCTCCCTCCCAGTCCCTCAGTTGCCTGAAGACTGCACTGTCTCAGGTGTGCGAAGGGTCCAAGGAACTTGTGAAGGATATAGCGGTGACCATGCCCTGCCCTGGCCCATGCAGGGTGAAAAGCTGACGGAGGGCGGGTTGTGTGAATGCACAGATGACCATACGAAGAACGACAGTTACAGGTAAGAAACCTGCCTTTCTTCTTCGTGGTCTCCGTGCAATCACACCTACGGGCAACTAGCAAGCTTATCGTCCAGGAGGAGGGGCTATCATCACCAAAGAATTGAAGCGAGAACTGCCCTTCCAAAGACGCAGTCCTGTCTGGCACAGACATCTAGCTGATAGTGGCGGATGAGGGTCGAGGGCATGGACCATGTCACAGTCTTACAGATCTCTTGGAGCAAGACACCTGCTAGCAGCGCAGTGGATGTGGCTTGAGCATGTGTGGAGTGAGCACATGGGCGGTACATCAGCGGAATTCTAGCCATCTCATAGGCAAGGGAGATGTTGGTAGAAACCCACTTAGAAAGTTTTTGGCTGGAGATGGGTTCACCAGCTCTGGGGCCCTCATAGCATATGAAGAGGCGCTTAGAGTGGCGGAGGAGCTCAGTCCAGGCTCTGTAGAAGGCGAGGGCCCTCCCGACATTGAGAAGGTGGAGGGTGGTCTTGATGGGAGTGGATGGGTTGGGAAAGAAGGCTGGAAGGACAACATCCTGGTTCACATGGAAAGGGGATATCACCCTGGAGGCAAAGCGTGGGTCAGGGTGGGGGATGACTTTGTCCCTGTGAAAAATGGTGAAGGGGGTGTCGATCCACAGAGCAGCTAGTTCGCTAGCACAGCAAGCATATGTGATGGCCACCAAGAATGCAGTCTTCCAGGAGAGAAGGCAGAGGTCTGTCATGGCCATGGGCTTGAAGGGCCTCCTTGTGAGGGATTGTAGGACCACTGAGAGGCTCCAGGAGGGGGTGCGAGGCTGGACTGGTGGGGCCAAGTTCCGGAGGCCCCTGAGGAAGTGGCATGTCAGGGGGTGAGTGAACACCAAGGACCCTTGGATAGGGGGGTGAATGTGGGAGATGGCTGCCAGGTAGACCCTGAGAAAGAAGGGGGAGAGGCTCGCAGAGAAGCAGGACTGCAGGTATGTCAGGATGTGGTCAATGGAGAGGGGGGGGGGGCGAGGCCCTGTGCTGTAGCTGAGGCTGCAAAGGCTCTCCACAGGTAGGAACGGCACATGGAGTGCTTCAGGGTGGCCTGTAGGATGGCAGTGTCTGCTGGGGGGAGGGAGCCATATGGGTCACTCAGGGTATGATCTTCCAGGCCATCAAGGGTCCTGAGATCGGGTTGCAGAACCTTACCCCAGTCCTGCGAGAGCAGGTAGGATAGGGAGGGCAGGTGATAGAACCTGTTCCCTGGCAGGCAAGGGAGAAGGGGAAACCAGCGTTGTCCCGGCCACCAGGGTGTGATCAGGATGCAGCTGGTCCTGTCATTCTGGAGCTTGGCCACCACCCTGGTGGTCAGAGGAAACAGAGGGAAGGTGTAGAAGAGGTTCCCCTCCCACCTTGTTAGCAGGCAGTGCTCTGGGGCACATGGAGTGGTCAGGGAACGGGAGCGGCTGTCATCTCCTTTGTACTGAGCTATGGTCAAAGCTCATGCGCTTGGTGGTGGTGTAAGGAGTCTATATTTTCATCTATATGTGCAATGAAGAGGCCTTTGCCATCGAAGGGAAGGTCCTCAATGCAGGCCCAGGTCTCAGGGCTGGGGGGCAGGGATGCAGAGTGCAGCCAAGCGTGGCAGTGGATGGCTACTGCCCCCATCATGGCTTTACTGGCACAGTCGACATGGTGTCAAGCTGCCTCCAGCTGGAACCTAGAAAGGTCCTCTGCCTCAGTGTGTATGAGGCAGACTACGTCCCATAGGTGGACAGGTTCTACTATGGGACCCATCTTTCCCCACAAGAAGAGCTGATACCTGGCCATGGTGGCCTCATAGTTGGAGCACTGAACCCAAGGGCAGCCACCACATAGATCTTTTTTGCCACGGAATCCAGGCAGCATCCCTCCTTGTCCACAGGGGTGGACTGATCCATCTGGGGTGTGCCCTGCATAGACTCCACTATAATGGAGTTGGGCCTGGGGCATTGGAGGAGGAGGAGGAAGGCCTTGATGGTAACCTTGTAGGTAGACTCAGCTCCGTGACAGGTAGACAGTGGTGCAGCAGGGTCTTTCCAGGACTGTTGCGCTGTGCGGAGCAGCGCAGGCATGGCAGGTATGGACACAGTGGTGGCATCCTCTGAGGCCAGAGCATCATAGCACGGGTTAGCCTTAGGTTTGGGTGGATGGGAGGCTTAGAATCCGAGATCCTCAGCCATGCGGAGCACCAGGTCCGAGAAGCCATCCCCCTTGGCAGGAGAGAAAGAGAGGTCCTGATCCAGGGCCTGGCCATCTTTGCAGTGGATGGAGGCTGCGGGGGAGGGGGAGCATCTTGGGGCCAGGGGTCAACTCTGACCTGAGTCCTGTGAAGGCAAACACCAGTGGCAGCTGCTTCTGCTTTGATGATCCCAGCAAGAAGCATGTGGGCATCTGCGGTGAGCTGCAGGGCTGCAAAAGCAGCAGCGCTGGCGGGAGGGCCTGGCATAGGCCGCATTGCTTGATGAGTCCTCGCTAGGCCAGCAGCATCAGTGCACGCAGGGCCTGTCCCTGGTGGCACAGCTTGATTCCCTGTTGGGGAAGGGGAAGGCGTGGTGTTCCCGGCTGCATGCTCCCTGCTTCCTGTCGGGCTCTTCAGTGTGCCACGTGGTTCTGATGCATTCCCGCTGGCTCCCGCAATCTCATGTGTCCACCCTGGGCTCAGCCAGGGAGGCAGAAGAGCGGTGATGGTGATGGCGACGCTCGTAAGAAGTGGAGTCATTGGAGGAAGAGGAGGTAGGGCTCCGGGCATGGCGTCCATGTTGGGGCCTTCCGAAGACCCAAAGTCAAAGTCGGCCAAGCAGGACCTCCTTGTATGTGGGGTTGAGAGCAGTGAGTTGACACACGAGGAGGCCACGGAGCACAGCAAGGATCCTCCCCGACTCCAGCAAGGGGGCGGTGCAGTGCACTTTTTGGCTTCTGGGTGGAGCAGCATTGCGTCGAGGAGGTGGACATGTGGGAAGCTGTCTCCACTGTGGAAATGACAGCCAGGCTGCATGGTGGCATTGTCTCGGGCACAGGCGGCACTGCTGGGGGGGGGGGGGTTGTCCAGGGAATCCAGGACCGGGACCATGGGCATCACATCCAGAGGTGCCCCTGGGTCTGGGGAGTAGGATCCCTCATGGTGTGGCACTTCCTCCTCTTTGCCAGCGCTGCGGCACCGGAAGGGCCCTCTCCTGGCGATGCTGCTCTCCTCTAGCCCTGCGGGGCTTGGACAGGGGGGGTTGTCAGCCCCGTAGGGGGTGATGGTCCTGAGGGCCCATTGCCCTAAGGCTTGCCAGAGGTGGTTGGCCTTCTGCCGGCATGTCTGCTTTTTAAAAGCCTGGCAGTGTGGGCACATCATGGAGGCAAAGGAGGCATTTGGAATGCCCGTTGTTGGTGGGCATTTGTGCTGCACAGGAGGTGCAGTGGCGTGAAGTGGAGTTGGCCATGTGGTTCGGGATGGAACGCACATGGCAGAAAAAGAGAAGAAAAGGGAAGAGGAAAGAAGAAAAACCCAAAGGGGTTTCGCGGGGTGGAGCACGAGAGAGAGGGGGGAGAGAGAGGTGGCAGACTTCTCTCTTCCAAGAGTGGTAAGCAAAGGCATGGGAAAAGAAAACATTTTTTTTTTTTTTTTTGTGAAGGAAGAGGAGAGAGAAGAGGAAAAAAGTAAAAGTAAAATGGCGAACCAGGTGAGTAGAGCGAGCAGAAGGTCTGATCCATGGTAAGCTCAAGGTGTGGTCGAAAAGGAACTGAGGGACTGGGAGGGAGCCCCCCCCCCACACTTTTATGCTGCCGGCACAGGGGGCGGGCGGCCTTCTGCCCACTCCATGGTGCTGAGCTTTTTTCTCCAATCAAGGTCTTGTGCTCCACAGCAAGCCCGTAGGGTGTGATTGCATGGAGATCACAAAGAAGAACTAAAGGTTCTAATAATCTAATGAAAGTCATGACCTGACCTGGAGTGGTTCTTTAATTCTAATGCATTAAGTGGAACCAAGTAGATAACGTATATTATAAATAATCCTGCTGTCTTCACTGGCATCTTTGTCAAAGGCTCTGTTTCTGAAGCAATTGACTAATGCTCAAATAGTCTTCCATGGGTAAATCATATCTTTATCCAACCCCAATTCAAATCAAAACAATTTGGCAATACTGCCATCTTGCAATTCATTAAGTCTCTAACAGAAGTGCAATAGATAATTTCTGGCAGCCATTTGCACAATGACCTTGAT